ACATGTTTGATTTTGGCCCTCTTTTATGTTGAATTTATTTCACAGTTTTCATTGGTTCACTCAATCCATTGTTTTACACATTTGTCCTGTACCAGAATGTTTCACCTATTTTGTAATTTGTATTTTGTAATTTGAATTGCTTTTATTTTTGATTTATTCAATATATTTACCTTCAACTGAACCATGTTCAGCGCTTTGGGCTTCCTGACAGGGTTGCGGAAGGCGCTTTATAAATAAAGCTTTGATTGATTGATTGATTGATTAATCCCATTTGTGCCCAAATTTTTTTCAGAGCCGTAATGCATATCATTTTATCAGTTAAGTTCCACTGAATCATGTTATATAATTTTTTTTTTCAATTATGTACTTTTTTGGGGAAGAAAATGGCATATTTATGACTGGCAGTTATTGTTGCCAGTGGTCACACAGCTTGTCAGTAGGTGAAAATTCACCTAATAATAGCAATAGAGAAGTAATAATAATATCGTTATAACCAGGGCCAACCCTGGGGCATTATTTTCACTGGGCACAATTTTTCCTAGTGAGTCAAAAATGACAGTGATACACTTTGGCAACAATAGTTGCCAGTCGGGCTGAACGGGTTAAGAGGGTTTATATGAGGATAGAGTCAGGGGGAGGGGAAAAGAGGCCCTTCAGAGTTACCCTCAACAGAGAGGGTAGCTTTGCTATGCAAAAAAACTCCTCAGACAGATATGCACACAGACTTCAGACATTACACATCATAAGTGTCCACTAGGTGGGGTGGTAGGGTTGGGACTCTCCTCACTTCAGTGCGTGCAGCCGCATGGAGCAGCCCTCATCACTTTTGTTTGGACAGGGGAGGGAGATAATGGGTTAGAGGGCACAGTGACTCCCAGACTGTTCCACGGCCTTCACCGGCCACAGTCCCGCCCAGGCTGGGATAGGGAGAAGAGTTACCATAGTGACGGCAACATTCAACATTTCTTCTGGGGGAGGGGGGGGGGGGGGGTATCACTTCAGCCTCACAGGCTCCAAGGGCACCAGATTCAGATAAAAATTGTTTTGGGGACAGACAGAGATACTTTCCTCTCTGCCTTAGAGTTCTGTTGGTCTACAACCCCTCTAGATCCACTAATGGCGTAATTAATCAATCCCAATCCCTGCTGATCCGTCCACTCGTTCCTTGATGGTATCCACCTTTTGTGCCAGAGCCTGAATCTCAGCCAAAGTTCCAAGCTTTCGACTCATCTCATCATAGTTCTTTTGTTCCACCATCTACAAACGTCATAACTAAAATGCAGAACAAATTCATTGTATTGTAGTTGATCAATTCATTATTGTGTAAAAATGGACTTTGTGCCTTTTAAAAAGAGTTCTCTATTAATCCTGCCCAATTACAGCTTTGCTGCTTTAGAGAAAATCTATGAGTCAAATTGGAGTGGGAGTTTAAAAAAAAGGGGGAATCAATTTATCTTTAACTGGCCTTTATAGAGCAAACCTTCTGACCTTTTAGAGAAATAAAAGCTGTGTTGATGTTCACGCTGAAAAGTCCTTTAGGAAATATGCAGGAGTTTAGGAGGATAACCTTGGACTACCAGGTGTTGAAAATAACCTGTTTATGAACACAGCTGTGTGACACGACAGGCAGGAAGGTGACTAAAAGTTGTTTATTTGCTCAATATTTTATACACTCATGAGAAAACATGCACGCATTGTAACTGGAAAAACATGAGACTGTCTAATTATTGTACTGTATTGTGTGGGACTAAGGAATTGTTTACATGTTAGTGCAATTGATTAAATTGCATCAAACTGGGGTGTTTGTGGTTTTATTCTGTTTGATCTGTCTGCATAAGATGAAACTGGATTGAACTAAATTTCAGCCAACTGGATTCACCTTCTAACCATCTTCTTTTTTTCATATTTAACTAAGTGTAGCAATTTGAGGTATTGTTTACCTTTGGCTGACATGTTTCAGCTGGAACTTCCGCCTTCATCAGAGCCACCAGCTGTTTGTTGCGTCACTTCCATTTATGTGCGGGCAGCAGAGGATGATGTCGCCCTCTGCTGCCCGCATCCTTCATTCGGATAACACAGTCCCATGTGTGATCCAAAGTGTAAACGCCGTCGTCCCTGTTCATGATGTTGTGTCTGCGTCTCCATATCTCCATCGCTTCCTTAATACATCTTCTGTATTTTCGTTGTTCCGTATTCCACAAATGGTCAGTGTCAAAATATCCATTTTTTTTAACTAAAGGACTTTAGTCCAATTCAAATGATCTGCTTGAAGATATCTAACATGCAGGATGGTGAACCCTGATGACCAGTGGTTTGGGATGTCTGCTTATATCAGGGACGTCATTTGTGTGTGTGTGTGTGTGTGTGTGTGTGTGGGGGGGGGGGGGGGGGGGGGGCATTTTCTTATGTCCATGGCTTATATATATATATATATATATATATATATATATATATATATATATATATATATATATATCCTCAGAAACTTCTAATCAATAAAATATTTTTCTATAGCTGTCACAATCCACAAGCTTCTTCGTCGTCTTCGTCTTCCTCCGCTTATCCGGGTCCGGGTCGCGGGGGCAGCATCCCAATTAGGGAGCTCCAGGCCGTCCTCTCCCCGGCCTTGTCCACCAGCTCCTCCGGCAGGACCCCAAGGCGTTCCCGGACCAGATTGGAGATGTAACTTCTCCAACGTGTCCTGGGTCGACCTGGGGGCCTTCTGCCGGCAGGACATGCCCGAAACACCTCCCCGGGGAGGCGTCCAGGAGGCATCCTGACCAGATGCCCAAACCACCTCAACTGGCTCCTTTCGATCCGGAGGAGCAGCGGTTCTACTCCGAGTCCCTCCCGAATGTCCGAGCTCCTCACCCTATCTCTAAGGCTGAGCCCGGCCACCCTACGGAGGAAACTCATTTCGGCCGCTTGTATCCGCGATCTCGTTCTTTCGGTCATTACCCAAAGCTCATGACCATAGGTGAGGATTGGGACGTAGATCGACCGGTAAATCGAGAGCCTGGCCTTCTGGCCCAGCTCCCTCTTCCCCACGACAGATCGGCTCAGCGTCCGCATGACTGCAGACGCCGAACCAATCCGCCTGTCGATCTCCCGATCCCTCCTACCCTCACTCGTGAACAAGACCCTGAGATACTTAAACTCCTCCACTTGAGGTAGGACCTCTCCCCCGACCCGGAGGTGGCAAGCCACCCTTTTCCGGTCGAGAACCATGGTCTCAGATTTGGAGGTGCTGATCCTCATCCCAGCCGCTTCACATTCGGCCGCGAACCTACCCAGCAAGAGCTGAAGGTCAGAGCTGGATGAAGCTAGGAGGACCACATCATCCGCAAAAAGCAGAGACGAGATTCTCCTGCCACCAAACTCGACACACTCCACACCACGGCTGCGTCTAGAAATTCTGTCCATAAAAGTGATGAACAGAACCGGTGACAAAGGGCAGCCCTGGCGGAGTCCAACCCTCACTGGGAACAGGTCCGACTTACTACCGGCTATGCGGACCAAACTCACGCTCCTCTGGTAAAGGGACTGAATGGCCCTTAACAGAAAGCCACCCCATACTCCTGGAGCGTCCCCCACAGGGTGCCCCTGGGGACACGGTCATAAGCCTTCTCCAAATCCACAAAGCACATGTGGATTGGTTGGGCAAACTCCCATGCCCCCTCCATCACCCTTGCAAGGGTATAGAGCTGGTCCACAGTTCCACGGCCAGGACGAAAACCACATTGCTCCTCCTCTATCTGAGATTCAACTATCGATCGGACCCTCCTCTCCAGTACCTTGGCGTAAACCTTTCCAGGGAGACTGAGGAGTGTGATCCCCCTATAGTTGGAACACACCCTCAGGTCACCCTTCTTAAAGATGGGGACCACCACCCCGGTCTGCCACTCCCTAGGAACTGCCCCCGATGACCACGCAATGTTGTAGAGACGTGTCAACCATGACAGCCCTACAACATCCATAGCCTTGAGATACCCAGGACGAATCCACAAGCATCTGATAAAAAATCTTTAAAAAAAATCTTTTTTTATATCCATTCTATGGAGGACAACCCAGGACTGAGAAAATGCAGCTGCCTTAATGGTATTCCACAAATACTCTGCTTAAAATTCCCCTTTATCTGTTGAATCTTTCATCTCAACTTGTCATGGAAGAAGAAATTTCTGAAGCAATGTTCCTATGAGACAGGAAACATTTCCTACTATGATCTCGTTTAAAAGTGCCACTCGGTAATAAAAAGCTCTTGAGGAGAATCTGCCACCGTCCTGACCTTGTCATTCACTGAAGGAAGTCTTGCATTCCAGGTCAACTCCTGAGCATTTCTTTGTGAATACCTGAGCATGCACCTGTCATCTTGTCTGTTTGGTCCAACGCGCACCACTGAGAAGAGCACAGGAAACCTTCTGTTTGTCCCAACATCAACAGAGTAGCAGAGTGACTCATGTAGTCTAATTAAATGATGAGAAAACTATTCATTTAAAGTCAGTTCAGCTCATTTTTATACCACCAAATCTTGTTTCAGTAACTAATGCCACCTCAGAGGAGAGCTTAACACAACAAAATTTGGAGTCTTATTTCCTGATTTTTGGACATCTGGCCTCAGATTGGCTAACAGCAACACAACTCTACAGCTGACTCTGCAGCATTGATGTTTTATCTCTAACACAAGCCTGGATGTGTTCTGCATTGGGGTGGAGTTGCTAATGCTAAAAAAAATGTTTTTTCAGTGTTCCACAGCTTTAATACAAATAAAGACTTTCATGAGAATGTATTTGATTTAAGTCAACAGTGCAACAATTTCCTTAATAATTTTGTAGACTATGTTAATTGACATAATGTTGAAATCTAAATAATTCAACAGTTCCTTTCAGTTAAAATATCATTTTTTGAAATAGACAAAAACAAATAGGTTTAGTGGACAAATGCCGTTTATTGTAATTCTTCTTTTACACACAAAAACATTTCTCATCAGATAATTTTTTTGCATTGTCTTTTTAAAGATTTTTTTGAACACGAAGAAAATATTTACTTACTGATATGGTGTCACTCTTTTCATAAAGTACATTAGTTATCATACAAGGTTACAGACAAACATCTGAAAAGGCTGCATGTTACATACCACCCCACTCTGAAATTCATCATGTAAGCCACTGTACATTTGTAATAAGTAAGGTTTTGCAAGTGCACGTAGAATCGTATGTAAGCAGAAATATGTGCATTTGTCGAGTGCATGCAAATGAACTGGGTACCAGTTTGCATTTAACTGGAATGAAACATCAACCTCGAATTATTCAGGCTGGTTGAGAAGTGGAGGTACAATTTTATGAATGAACTTACAAACACTCAACTAATCAGTTTCAGAAACTGTTTTGTTGACCTCTTTACATAAAACATGAAATCCATCTCTGACTGAAGCACAGTTTGTTTCACAAGGTATCATTGAGCTCAATGAAAAATCAATTACTGTTTGTATTTCCTAATGAAAGTTTGAAAGGGCAACATTTTTAAATGAAAATGAACAATCACAGAACACATTTTGCTAAATGTTTAAACAAACGCCTGTGAACACGATTCTACAAGAACAAAAATCATTTGTTGTGTAAAGAAATATTTTCAGATATAGACCTCGTTCACATTAATGCATCGTTTTTTTCTTTTTCTTTTACCAGAAACCTGTAGGAAAGCATGAAGGGATGGCAGTGCAACACATTTGAGTTTGTAAAATAGCACAATAAAAAATACTTATTCAGTCTATAGTGTTTGTGTTCTAAGTGGGGTTAGGGTTAAACCCACCCAAAGCTTCCCCACTTATTTCAAATTAGCACAAAAATTAACGTGTAAATAAATTTGTGCAACAAAGGAGAAGCCAACATTTAGTTGCTGATGTCTGTGTTTAATAAGTTCATGCTCCTCTTAAAAAAGGAAGGAAGCTTCTCTTCCTGAAGCAGTTTTTTCCCAACAAGAAAATTTTTCAGCTAATACTCTAATCTTAATCCGCTGAGTGAAAGTGGGTCATAGACTGTTGAGAGCAAGCAATAATAGGTCAAATAAATCAATTAAAAAATGTATTTTACTTCATATTAGATCTGGATATTACAATATTGTAGTAGAGGTGCACGCTCGCTGCTGCCACTGACATTCGTTCTGCATGTAAATTAACTCAATACTAAATATATTGTAATGCAAAACTGGTCATGAGGTAAACATTTACAAAACAATGTCTGTGTTTCAGATTGGGAGCATCAAACACACTACTAACAGTTTTTATAGTCACTACATTTCACACTTTAAAAAAAATTCAATTTTGTGAAAAATGTCAACAACGGATGCAGAAATCCTTTTTTGTCATTGAAATAAACACAACGATATTAGTTAGTAGCACTAATACTGAACATGCAAAATACTGACATTTATAAAGAGCTGTGGATTCTTCCACAACATGGTAAACAGAATCGACCACTTTACGGCCCCGCAGCAGTCATTTCAGCCTTTAGATCTTACTCACCAAAATGTTTGGGGTTGAGGCCTTTTTTGAGTCGCCGTTGTCGTTAACCTCCTCTGCACGTTTGCTGCCGCTCCTTGACACGAACTGCCTGTGAGAAGACAGACAGGACATCTGCCTGAGACAAGTGTCGTTTTCTAATTCGGTCCGAGTGTTCGAATCTTGGCGCCGTCTCCTCAGCCCTTGGTGGAAGTGAATGGTAAACAAACCGTAGGTGATGGGGTCAAGACACGCGTTGAAGAGGCCAAATATAAACAACATATGAGTGAGCGAATGAGACACTGTCTCCTCCATCCTCTCAGGAAACAGCCAGTACCACAGGCCGAGCAGATAGTACGGGGTCCAGCAGATGATGAACGAGGTCACAATGACAATGCTCATCTTGAGAGTCCTCATCCGAGCTTTGGGGATGTTACTGTGCGAGCGGCGAAGATGCACGTCTCTTGACAGAACTAGAGAAGGAAAAGAACAACACATTTTTTGAGCTCCAGAAAGTAATGTTGGTGTAAAGTTTGAAGGTAAAGGAATACTTTCATGAGACGTACTGTTACTCTGAGCCATGCGGCTGGATATCTCAATAAGGATTCGTGCGTAGCAGAAAATCATGATGACCAAGGGAAGGAGGAAGAGGCACGTGAAGGTGAACATGTTGTAGAGGGTCTCCTGCCAGCGATGGACAAAGCTGCCATGGGTGGTGCACTGGGTGAAGTTTTCTGGGACTGTGATGGTCACATTGTGGAAAATAAACATCTGGGGAAACAGAAGGACAAGCAGTGATGCTCTGCAGAAAAACTTATGGGCATCCTTGTTAAACTACATATTCATTCTTTATTGACTTACTCTTTTAGAGTGCACGATTAAAGAAAAGTTAATATAACAGTCAATAAAACAAAATTTCATTAAGGATGCAACTTTCATGAAGGGAATCTTTTACACAAAAGCTGAGATGCTTGATGTAGCTCTTGGTCAATTTATATTCCTACAGCTTTGGTCACAATCAGAGCAGAGCAGAGCACATCTTGGGCAGGTTGTCATGGATATCAGAAGAAGGTGCAGATGACATTTCTCCGCAGAGTCTAAGAGCTGTGTCGTTTCATTAATAAAATTAGGCTGGCAAAATAAAATTTTGCAAAGACATGTAAAATTTTAAATAACATTTTAATAATAACTCATCACAAGAATTATTTCCATGTGTGGTCATGTTTAAGCCTTCCTTTCTATGCAGAGCTGAAGAGAGCTGGTGCCTATAATGATAAGTGCATGTGGTAAGTGCATGGGTGCAACACGATAATCCTTTTGCACCCCGTTGGAATGAAGCGGCCACCGCTGTGTGGAAAATGACTAACGAATGGACGTGAAGTGGCTGAAGAACAACCTAACCAGCACTTGCTCAATGCAAACTGACAGCAAGATGAATCATGAATGTGTAATTTACAGAATATATTGTGAATGAGTGCTAAATTATTATGGATAAATGTAACACTGGTAGTAGTAATCATTAAATAGGCCAATGCTTGATCACAAAAGTACCCATGGTCCTTTTTTTATTCTGTCATTTTGGTCCATCTTCATTCAAACTCTGCTGCTTTGTAAAAAAAAGGACATGCAAATTATACACTAAGATGTTCAGCTAGGAAACGTGTGCTAAGTCTTTTAGTAGCAGTGCTGTGTGTTTTAGTCTAATTTAGTAAGAAAACAGAGAGAAATTTCCCTAAAGACAGCTGTAGGATTTTGATGAACCAGGTGAGAAAGCACAGTCCTGTCTGGAGGACATCATCTGAGACAGATTTTAAAGTAGAAACATCTTTCAAGCTTTAAAATGGTCACAGAAGGTACTTGGTCCTTTTAATAATATTTCATGTTCTGTCATTTTAATATAGTTAAGGTTTTTACACAATCACAGTGAATGTTCAGGTGAAAAGTCAAATAATCTGTCAAATCTTCAAACAAACTCCAGCACATTTTAAACATATTACACCATAACATGTTTGTCCCAGAAACATAAAAACTCATGTGTGACCATCAGAGCCTCCTCTAATACTCACACACTAGCTGTATGTCTGAGAATCACTTTCCTTTCTGTCTGCCTCTCATCGAGTTACTTTAGAGAGCATGTGACAAAATGTGTTTAGGGTGAGAATGTTGTCGTTTAAGGTGACGCTTTTATCGACAAAGGATTTTGAGAAGTTGTTCTGCACCTTCATCACCTGTCAGTTAGACTATTGTAATTCCCTGTATGCCGGTGTCTGTCAGCCACCTCTTTCACACTTGCAGATGGTGCAGAATGCTGCTGCCAGATTGCTAACATCCACTAGAAGGCATGATCACATCACCCCTGTCCCTGTTGCACCACATTGGCCCCCAGTCCATTTCAGAATTGATTGTTTGATCCTTTTATTGGCATTTAAAGCATCACATGATTGGGATCTACCATACTTGACGGCTCTATTACAGTCTCGTGCACCGCACAGATCATTACGATCTGAGAGTGCTTGTCTTCTGGTGACTCCAAAGATGAGGTTGGTGCGTAGAGGTGATCGTGCCTCTGCTGCGATGGCTTGCAGATTGTGGATTCATCTTCCCATTTATTTAGACGGGCTACCTCATTTGCTAATTAGAATATTCTTTTTAAGACTCGTTTATATTCTCCAGCTTTGCCTCCAGTTAATATTTGTTCTGTCACTTCGCTGTGCATTTATTAAATTGTTTATAAGTTGTTATTCTGTGCAGCGCTTTGGCCAATGCAAATTGTGCAAATGCGCTATATACATCAAGCTGTGTTGGATATACATATGCAGAGCTTTTAATAAGGTATGTTCCTACTCGACCTCTCCGCTCTGCAGAGAAGGATTTATTGGTCGAGCCTAGATTTAACTGCAGGTCTCGAGGGGAGTGAGCCTTTGCAATGCTGGCCCCAAGACTGTGGAATTAGATATTAAACAGTCTGAAGTTTTAAAGCTAAATTGAAGCAATATTACAAATCTAGTTAATTTTATACCTTTTTGTACTCTTCTGGTTTAATTGTAATTTTTCTGGTAATATTCTTGGAATGTTTTTATGTATTTTAACTGTTTTTAGGCATTATTTGCATTTTGATTAGATTGTTTTTAGTGTTTTTTATGTCTTATGACATCCATTTTTTTAGTATGGTCTTATTGTTGTTTCAAATTTTAATGTATATGATCTATGATTTTATCATGTACTGCACTTTGGGCAGCCTTGGCTGGTGGCACTGAGGTGCTTTATAAATAAATAAATGAAATAAATATAGAATCAATGCAAAATTGGTGTGAAAAGTTTGCTTTCCAAACAGCATTTCGGTTGAAGGCCATCTTTGACAGAAATTGGCAATCAGGTTGATTTAAACATCCTGGAGAACAAACCACAGATCATCTGTGGGTGTTTCTGGCTCAAACCCTTCCATCTCTTCCTGCAGTCCCAAACTCTATAAGGGATGCTGAAATCTGAGTTCTGTGTGGGCCTAAACATCACGTTCAGGTTTTGTTGCTGGTCTTTGTGCTAAATATAGCTCTACATGACACAGTAGCTGTCTGTTTGAGACTGTTGTCCAGGAAAATCGATCTAAGGCTAATAATGCCTCCCTGGCAGTATTGCATAATGGATATTGTGTTTATTAGCTTTGAGGAAACCATTAATCCTGACCAAGTCTCATTTATCCTCCCCATATCCTGCACGATGCCTGACTGTTGCCTACAGACAATCATTAACGAAGTAAAGTACATCTGACCTCTGCTACAGCAAATCGCATCTTTTTGACTCATTAGTTTGGAGCACCTGCGGACATATTTTCTGCAGGTATTTTTATGACGTAGACTTTTTGGATGCAACACTTTTCTGGGTCCTACAGGTTCTGTGTCCGATCTGAGCTGATGGCTCTGCTGGATGTCTTGAGATTTAGCAGGAGAATAAGAAAGAAGAGTCTTTCAACTGCTACATCTTTGTGTCTCTGGTCTGCCGTGTGGTCTGCTCCTTTGTACTTCTTCAAAAGACCAGGAACAGAGTTTCTACAACAACTCTGCTTTGAAGTTTTTTCCTGAGAGAGACCTTATGAAGGTAGTAGAACTATGCTGTGAGTTGTTGCCGTGTTCAGTCAGAATGAGCCAAAACATGACTTTGGTAACTGCTTTATTGGCCCAGATTTAAGCCTCTCCTACCTGTTTTAGTTTGAACCTACATACGATAATCACCATGAGTACCTGTTTTGCTTAATGAAACAATCATACACCACCTGATCTAAATGGAAGTTTATTTAAAAATCTCCACTGATGTTGCACTTGTCTTCTGTTTTCTGTGGAAGATTTGGAAAAAAGAGCAGGGAAGATGCTACGACACTGTGCATTTATTTTCCACTCCTTCATCAGGAGCTTTGCTAAATTGAGCAAATTGGCTGTCTGCACGAAAGACTGATGTCAGAGGTTTGACATTTGATATTTTCTGCTAAACTCAACAAGCCTTTGGCTGCATGTGTCCAAACCGAGCCGAGACTCCTAATTCATTAAAGCCAAAACTAATATGCAACGTCATGTTCCCTAACCTGCAGCTTGAACATTTTATAATTAGCTTAATTTTGTTGTTAATGAAGTGACATGAAATCATTTAGATGGAAGGCAGACATCTCAGAGGCCCACTGAGAAAGGTAAGCTGCAGGACAAAAGAGTGAAGAATAAAAATTATTTTATGTGTCTGAAAAGCAACATCTGTGCAGGTAAATAAGCAGTTAGTGTCTAGAAACGCAGACATAATCTGGATGTAGATAGCTACACATTTATTCATTTTGTTCTTATTCGCTTCTGACAAATGTTGGGGATTTTTTTCTTTTAAATCCTAAATAATTTTAAATATTTTTTTTATAGTTTTCGTTTTTCTAATTAGATCTGACCGTTTTAAGTAAATAGGGTTAAACTAATATTCTCTAAAGAAATGATCTGGCATAAAACAAACCTTCATCCATGATTATTATTTCATGACATTTTTATTCTCCTAGCTCATTTTTATTCATGTTTTTTTATTTTATTTTAAATAAAAAATTCATTGTCTGCAATCACAATGATCTTGAATTATTTATTCTTGTGTCATCATTCTCAACAAATGCAAAGCAGGAAAACCCTGAAATACAGGTTAAAACAAAAGTTACCGGATGCCAAAAAGAAAGAAGATTTTGTTGCGTCTCATTGCTCAAATACTTAAGAGGCAAGTGAATGCGGCTGTGACTGTTCTGTACTGAGAAGCTGCTGACGCTGCTTAAGGACTGAGAAAAATAAAACCGATTGGTCCAGTTTTGCTGCAATATGACTAAAATCCTGTTGCTTCTCTCACTGATGGATTGGATCAGAAAACAGACATGAATCCCACAGCTGAATATCAGCAAGTGTGACTCATCATTGCTAACATTTTGTATGCACCTTAAGAGTGCTCGAGGTGTATGCAGGTTTACGTCACGCTCAGAAAACAAAACAGGAGATATATCACTGCGCATCACACCACACACACTTGTGATTCATGATCTAATTCGAGCACATTCTTTTCTAAATTTGATACAAATGAAATTCTGAATGAATCATTTATACAAATTATGTAAACATGGGATTTTTGACAAATTTGATTTTGTCTAATAAATAAATTGATGAAAAATCGAATTATTGAACATCATTTATAAACCCAGTCTGCTCATTAATACTACCTTCTGGTGTAAACAGATCCTGCAAAATATGTTACACCAACAAATTGCA